ATTTACTACCTAGCAGCTAAACAGCGTGATCTCGAAACATTCTCTGTATTTTGGTCAATCAAGTGGTCTAATGAAACCTCGCCAGTTCCAGAAAGCATGTGGATAATTAGATGGTCATGGATGGTTTAACTGGAATTTGCCCTTTTGTGTGGGCGCCTGGCCCTCCCAGCCCCCATTTGGCCATTCTCTCCTCTCCGCTTCCAGAAGACACAACAGTTTGGCTAAGCTCGGGCCTGGGTGCGATCTTCTAGGAAGACCAGCCGGTTGGGGTTTGATAGGTTTACTCTGGAGAGTCCTGGGGGGAGGTTTGGGGAGACGGAGACTTGCTAAGGGAGAAAAGTGCGTGCCAGATCAACTACCCTGCCTCTTTACCTAAAATTTGTTACGGAAGGAAAAAAATCCCGTCCCCACACCCCTTGGACCTTTATTTCAGCTCGGGGTGGTGAAGGCATTTTGCCTCCTGTCGGGGAATGATGGGCAGGGCTTATAGCAAACCTGTGTTAACTCCAGGACCTTGTGCTTTGGTCTGGGAATGCGGACCCGTGGACTGAGGGTCAGGGGGTTTCTCTGGCTGGTTGTGGTCCGTTTGAGTCCTCAGAATAGGCAAGCGCACAAATATTCATACCTCTTCCCTGTGGCATCTGTGCCTCTGTCTGCTCTGTTCTCTGTGGGCCCCCCTCTCACTGTTGAATTGAATCTAGTATTAAAAGATAACATAGTTTCTCGGTGGCCCTTTAAAAAGAAAAGAAAAAAGCCCCGCTTCCTTGCTTAATCTCCTTTATGTACCGTGGAAATAGACAGAAAGCACATTTAGTTAAAGGCTTGATTTATGGCACGAGGAATTTATGGTAAAGAGATTCTGGAAAGTGAGGAAGCTGAATTGAGGCGGTGAAAAAACATGCTAAAAAAGTGCCTGCCAGGATTTGGGAGTGGGGAAAAAAGAGCTTGTTTTAGACTGTTAATGTTTATTGTTGTACATAACTAAATGATCTCTATCGATGGACTATTTTAAAATCAGATAAAAAGAAAACCCAGAAGTGAAGAAGCAGATCTGATAGGGAGGATTATGATTTTGTGCCCAAAGAAAATAGCGATCATCTGACATTGCTGCAGAAGTAGGATTCAGAGGTGGACAGTGGATTTCCTTAAGGAGTGTGGTCCAAAGGAGAGAAGCTCCAGAAACACGGTGTTCCACGGAGGAATTGCCTGCAAGGGGTCGTGCCAGCCCTGCAAACACGTTGGCACGCCAAGTGAAACGGAGTGAAGAGAAAGCCAGTCATATTTTACAGTCTCAGAGGGGATTTTAAAAGCATAGTAAAAATGCATGGAGGTAAAATTAAGATATACGTCCACAGACAGAGTGATTGAATTCTGTCGTTTCTTACACTTGGGGCATTTTCTTACCTTTTTTCTCTTTGTGTGTTTTACAAAAGTATTTTCCAGATCTGTACGTGGAATCTAAACCTCTACACTTAATGTGAGCAAAATTTCCATAACTTTAATCATAGTGACAGCAACTAAGTTTGGAAAGGTTTTCCATGTTCAAAGCTCTCACCTTAAAACCTTGTTGGAGACAATCTGTTTGTGGGGGAAGATGTATATGGGTGTGAACTTTTGTCACGGTCTGTGGGCAGAGATTCCTTTGGGGTCACAGGTTAGCCGCAGAGCAGTTAACTTCTGACTGGATGTTTCGTTTTTCTTTCTGAAGCGGCCTCTAAGCCCTGTTTGTCATGAGGACTTTCTTGCTCTCCAGCTTTCCTCTTGCCCTGAGACCGTGCCCTGACTCCTGGGTCCTTAATTTCTGGGGTTTGCTTTTTTGCTCACTGGAGCCCCGGCGCATCCTGGCTGTGAGCAGAGGATCTAGTCTTTCACACCGTTAAGGCAAGTCCTGCCCTTAACACCGCCGGTGGGGTTTCTCTCTCCCCCACTGCACACCATGTCACAGGAGCTCACACACAGAACAGCCTTGGGCTCCAAGTCCTCGGGCTTCCCCGGGGGAGGGGCCCCGGGGGAGGGGCCATCTAAGCTCCCTTGGATCTGAGCAGCAAATGACTCTAAAAAGATGCTAAGAGAAAACCATTGTGGGGTTGGTAGCGAAAGTCGACTGAGCTCTCAGCAAGTGCCAGGCTCAGCACCAAATGCTTTATGGGTGTGACCTCATTTTACCGTCATGGTGATTCTGTGATGTGGGAACTGTTCCGGTCTCCCTTTAACAGGTGAGGAAACTGGAGCTGAGGAACGACAAGTGACTTGCTGAAGCCCTCACAGTTACTGTTGGAACAGGGATCCCACAGCCCGCGGTGGTGCACTTGGTCAGGATGCTGCCACCGGCTCACGGCCCCACATTATAAACAGTGTGCAGGGGAAGGGCACCAGCTAGGGTTGGCTGCTTGGCTAGGGGAGGTCACTGGGTACCCACACGGAAGGACGCAGAGACGTCCCAGCACCCAGCCTCTAGCCCAGGGAAGGGGTGACAGCAGTGATCTCGTCATTTTAACTCATTTTAGAAGTCAGTATATTTTAAGCATATGCCCTGTTTTCCGCCCCCACAGTGCCATGCCTCAGTCCAGATCCTCTTTATTCTTAAAAATATTTTTGTCATTAAAGAAAAGCGCTTTGTTTTCGTAGAACGTAAAAGAGATACATATGCATGGGAATGAAATTCAGATGGTTTAGGAAGTTCTGAAATAAGACATAGTCTACCCCGTCCCTCAACGTCCTATAATCCCTCTCCCCAAAGGTGACCACGGCTAAGGCTCTTATATATCCTTCCCGAGGCTTGCTTTCAGTGCCCGTGTCCTCACACCTTGCCATGGGAAGGCTACTCCTCTGCGTTGTGTCCTGAAGCCTCAACCATGTGTGATGTGCGAGGACGTGGCAGGGAAGGCCAGACGGGCCTCTTCACCCAGAGCTGCGCCCCCCATCACCGCCCCAGGGGTTTCTCCCTCACCATGATCCCAGCACACCATGCACAGGAGTTCTGGCCACCCTGCGGTCCAGCAAGGAGGGTTACGCTGCTGGCCTTGGAGCGGGTGTTCGTCTGTGAGATCTGCCAGCCCTCGTCTGGTTGGGCCTGTAACTGTCTCATTGCCAGGCTGACTTTGACTCTGCTGTTCTGAATCTTCTTGCCTGTCATCTTCAAGCCCGCTTCCCACTGCAATGAGTGGTGATTTTTGCTTCTTCCTGTGGGAGACCTTTTTGTCTCTGAGAACACACCAGTCTCCTTTTGCATCCATAGCTCAAAACCGACGCAGGGTGTTAGGATTTTGGGAATTATTTTTAGCCCAACTTACTCCTTGAATCTTTCTGAACGCTTCTCTGCAGCTGGAGCTCAAGACATATATATGTGGTCAGTGAAGGCTGTGGAGGTCTTGAGGACGTTACTGGTGGGCCCTGCAGCTGAGGTCAGCGCACTGCGGAGGTCGTTTCCACGGGCTTTTCGTCTTTTTCTTTTTGCTTCTGCTGTTTTGCCTCTGTGGCCCAGACACTTGGGTGTGAAGCCTCAGCCTCTTAGAACCATATCTGTTCATGAGGCCCCTCTCAGCTCCAAAATTAATGATTGTCCAGTTCCTTAAAAAAAAAAAAAAAATTATTTACTATGCTCACAGTGAATAAACATCGATCATACTGTCTGCATAATAAAATTTAGGAATAACAGCCTTTGACAAAAGACTGCTCAAAAGGCTCAGCAATGTTTTCATGTACATTTAAAAAGATAATAGAAATTCTGTGTTAAAAATTGCCTACTTCTTGATATTAATACTAAAACCAACTTCCTATTCCTGAAATGATTCCCTCCGAATCCATTATTGGACATCTTCTCAGGTTTCCTCCCTGCTTTTTAAGGGCAGTCTGGGTTTAAAAAGGAGAGAATCAACATTTTTTAAGTAAGACGTTCCCAGTATGTTCATCTTTACTTGGTCCTTGCCACCTTGATTCAAAAAGTGTTTGTAAGCACAGCTGGGAAGAAGGGTTGATATGGGCAGTCATGCAGGGCACGGAACCACGTTTGAGGGGTCACGTCAAACCCCAGATTCCAGCTCTCTCTGGCCAAAGTCTTGTTCACGGTTTGGAATAAGGTGATGGTCAGGCGGCCTGCGATGGTGTTTTCCTTTCCAGAAACCAGCACGGGGAAGATGATATATTTAAGAAATAACCATTTTATCAAATGCAGACTATAATGGATTAGAGTAAATGAGAAAACTCAGTGAAGCCCTGCAGGCTTCCCCGGGGGGGGGGGGGGGGCGGAGAGAGGAGCTTTCCCACGAGATTGTGAATAAAGAGGTATTTTTCTTTCCCTTGACTCTTCCACTAGTTTCTGAAGCTGAAGTTGACAAGAGGCAGTTGATTTTCTCCAAATGGCCTGGGCGTCAACCAGTTCCCAGAAGGACTAGGGAGCAGCAGTTAGTGGTCCCCAGTGCCTGGGTTTCTGGTTACCTTGAGTAAAGGCATGTGGAGCTACTGGAATGCTTTTCACATTCAAATCCTAGAGCTAGTTCCTTGAGGTATTCTGCTTACATTTCAAAAGACAGAGCTGATTGAAGAGCCGATTTTCCAGAAGTTTTTATGGAATCTCATAAGCACAGCACTGATTCACCATCCCTGCTGGTCTGCGGGCAGGAGATTGATAATCCGGGGCTCCAGTACAGGCACAGGGAAAAAGGCAAGAATGAAGCCCATGGGGTCTGTCTCTATGTCCTCAAGTGATTATCTTGAGGAATTAGGACAGAAAGAAGACATTTTTTATCAGGCACTCTCTAAAACTGTTGTTTGGAAACCTGGCCTTAGGACCGTGTAATTTGGATGAAATCTAGCACATACTGCATGGATGGGAAGACAGAGGAGTTGGAATCCAGGGTTTTGGTCCTAAATTCACGACTTTGGCCAACCCTCACCTTCCCACCTTTCTAAGAGCTGACTGGCTGGCAGGGCTCTGGCCGGCTTCCAGCCTTCTCAGGTGGAGCCAGGATTACATCTGTGTCTTTGTATTTTGTATCCAGGTTTCTGCTGAGTCCAGCTCCTCCATGAACTCCAATACCCCACTGGTGAGGATTACAACTCGCCTCTCCTCAACGGCAGACACCCCCATGCTGGCGGGGGTCTCCGAGTACGAGCTGCCAGAAGATCCAAAATGGGAGTTTCCAAGAGATAAGTGAGTACTTCTGTGGGACGCATCCCTGAATGGGGACTGAAGTATAAAATGGGGATATTGGGCTGATATTTTCTTTTTATTACCCTTAACTGCCAAGGTCTTGCTTTGATGACGTCAGCAGGAGTGGGTAAGATTGTATCTAAATAACCAACTCGAAGAAAAACAAAGAACGAATTCTCTCTCTCTCTCTCTCTCTCTCTCTCTCTCTCTCTCTCTCTCTCTCTCTTTTAATAGTTCTTTTAAAACAGAGCTACTAAGCCATGGCTGATCCCCAAACAAAATGGTACCTTGGTAGCATTTTTTTTTTTTTTAACTTTCTAGATAATTCAAACCCAGTCAAATGGAATAAAAGTGGGATTATCCCATTTATAAAACAGAGTTGGCATTCCAACTTCTGGTTCCTAGAACATGTCTGTCCTACAGTTCATTTCCTTAGAGAAATTAGGTCTAGCATATAAATTGCCTTAAGAATCTTCACCCAGTGTTGCTGTTTTTAATAGTTATTAATATAATATTGGGCTAGAAATCTTCAAATACGGTACCTGACATCGACTTTCTTGTGGTCCCTAGTATTTTCCTTATCGGATGATATGGGTGTGTTCCAGTCAGATGTTCAGTCAAAGTGTGGCCACCTGGGCTTTGCCGAAGGCATTGTTGGGAGCTGTGTGTCTCTTGGTCTGGCTTCAAGTTCAGGGACTTCGGATTCTATTGGGCTGGATTGGAATCCTGGCTCTGCCAGCCAGTGGCTGGGCAACCTTGTGTGAGTTCCCTGATTCTCTTTGACCTTCATTTCTATGAAATGAAGGTCATGGTACAGACCTCCCAGGACTGAGCACAGTTCTTGGCTCATGTGAATTTCCCTTCCTTCCATTTCCCTTCATAACCTGAGAGATCTGAGCTGCAAATCTCAGCAAGCTGCCAGAGCTGGGCATCGAGTCAGTGGACAGATCTTGGACTACCAGCCCTCCATCTTCTAGCCAGGGACCAGCCCCCGGACTCGCCTTCTGAAATGAATATGATGGTCATTGAAGGGCTGTCAGCTCATTTCCAGGGTCTCTCTTGTAGTAATCAGGGTCCACACAGCTTGAGAATAATGGAAGGTAGAAATCGCTGACTATACATCTGCATCAAATCAGCTGGAATAAGCTTTTGACCTGCTCATGTACAGCAACCCTATTGGTCTTGACATTTGCACTATCTCCGTGAGATTATGTCGGAGAAGTGTCTAATTACTAGAGAAGGAACTCATACACAAATTTGGAAATGCAAAGATAAGCTTTTCCAGTGTCTGGATATCATGTGCTCTCTTTGGAAGGAGAGATAGCTTCCATGGCACTTGTAATTTTGATTCACACAGCTCCAACCAGCTTTGTTTTCTAATGGCTCGTTACTTTAAATAATAAACAGCTCATTTATTAATGGGCAGCATACGTTAGAACCAAATTATTGTACCGGTATCATTCTGTTAGAGTGTTAACGGAAATGATTTCCAGTTTATTTGTGTACTATTCATTCATTCAGTACTTGTTTACTGAACACTTAACCAGTGAGGTACCAGAAAAAACAAAGAATGATTTCTTTACCTGTAGAATGTGGAAAGGGGGTGTTTCTCGTGAGCCCTCCCAGCTCCCTGGTTTGATTAAACAAGTAGGTGGGTTAATGTGCACATTCCTATGGATATAGGACTGAATTTGGGAGCTGTGGTCATATTTTAAGAAACTGCAGCTCTCAGCTTCAATCTGTAGTTTTTGCCACCTGTGACACCACTGGCAACAGTGGGAGTCTGTCTGTTAGCTCCCACCCGGGGTACCCGGAGTGTGGAAAATCTGAGTGCAAAGCATTTCAAAATAGTGTTTAGCACAACCGTAGGTGGAGCAGATTTCCAATGAATGAAGGCTATTTAGAAGCAGTTTATTAGATCGGAGGCAGAACGTTATACAAAGAAAGGATTGTTATGCTTGTAGCAGCAGGGCAATAGGACATAAATTAGCCATTTTTCCAATGCAAATGTTTATTTTCTGCCAAGATATTAAATTTAATTTTAGCTCAGGGTAGACAGGGAATGACCTCAGCATAGCACACACTGCCCTCGGTCTTTGCTGTGACTTTTGCAAACCATTGCGTACTTACCAAAAATACTGCTTACTAGTGGCAGCTTGGTACTTTGCTGTGTTATGCTTAAATGAAAAAAACACATTCATAAGTATTCCAAAGTCTCTTCCATTCGGTTGGTTTCTGGAACGCCCAAGGAGTCTGTGTGGCTATTAGTACGCTGTATGTAGAGCTTCTGAGCTTAGAAATTTAGTTTGTTGTGTTCACTTTGGATTTTCTTCATTATTAATTTTGGGTAGTCATAAGGATTTCTAAACGATTATGTAAAAAAAAAAAAATTCCCCCAATTTCTAGCATTTCCTTTTTCCTTTAATGAAAAAAATAGAGATTCCTTGAAATGCGTTTAAGATTCATATCTTGTAACTATGGCCCAGAATGTGACCATAAAATCCACTGGTATTCGAATAATAGCGATTTTTAAAGACATCACAGAGACAAAAAATAACAGCTTTAATGGTTTTCTTTGAGATATTCTAAATTATGAAAATTCGATAGGCTCAAGATCAAAAGCTCCTCGTTTTTAGCACTTAGGAAGGCTGACCACCTCACTTGCAAGGATACCGTCCATAAAGAAAATAAATCGAGAATACAAATGTGAAATTCAATAGCTGTTCCAGCAGTAATTGACATTCTCTAAAACGTCACTAAGAAAATACTCAAGCGCATGTGTACCCCAAGTCTCATTAGTTCCATATGATAAATGCTCCATGCTTTTGTAAGCCGCTGAAAGATTTTTATATTGAGTTCAGGAATTTCCCTCGCTACACCAGATGCTGTTTGCTAATCCTCTCTTTACACATTTAGGCTGACGCTGGGCAAACCCCTGGGAGAAGGTTGCTTTGGGCAAGTGGTCATGGCTGAAGCAGTGGGAATTGACAAAGAGAAGCCCAAGGAAGCAGTCACTGTGGCCGTGAAGATGTTGAAAGGTGAGTGGGGCGGAGGTGGGGAGGGTGGGGGAAGGGAGGGGTGAGGGCGCCTTATCAAGAATGTTCCTTTTGTGGCATGTGAACTCTATCATGGCAGGGGGTTAGAGAGCACATAGTTGACCTAGGGGTTGAGAAGTTTTCAGTATAAATCAGCATCTTGGACAGACTATTTATCTTGAGCTGTGTGCACTTATAAAAAAGAAAAGCCAGTTGTATTGGGACGTGGCAGCCTCATTCCCTTTATATTTGTACGTGCTTAGAAAGTATCGACTCACGTAGAATTGATTAATTTAGATGACTATTGGTATGTCAGATTCAGGACCCAAACCTTAATTTACAAATGAAGGAAAATTGGCCTTTTTAAAGGGAGAAAGGAGGCTCAGGGAGAGGAGGACACACTTACTCCTTTGCAGGAGGAACAAAGCAGGAA